GGGGGCTGCGGGGAGCCGGGGGGGCTGCGGGGGCCTGGTGAGACCCCCACCCACGGGGGGCTGCGGGGATCCCCTGTGTGAGACCCCCACCCACGGGGGGCTGCGGGGATCCCCAGTGTGAGACCCCCACCCATGGGGGGCTGCGGGGGCCTGGTGAGACCCCCACCCATGGGGGGCTGCGGGGATCCCCGGTGTGAGACCCCCACCCACGGGGGGCTGCAGGGATCCCCAGTGTGAGACCCCCACCCATGGGGGGGCTGAAGGGATCTTCAGACCCAAATCCCCCCCAGACCCAAACCCCTGAGACCCCCAGACCCAAACCCCACGGGGGGCTGTAGGGGTCTCCAGTGTGAGACCCCCACCCACGGGAGGCTGTGGGGACCCGGGGGGGCTGCGGGGGCCTGGTGAGACCCCCACCCACGGGGGGCTGCGGGGATCCCCTGTGTGAGACCCCCACCCATGGGGGGCTGCGGGGGCCTGGTGAGACCCCCATCCACGGGGGGCTGCGGGGATCCCCGGTGTGAGACCCCCACCCACGGGGGGGGGCTGTAGGGAATCTTCAGACCCAAATGCCCCCAGACCCAAACCCCTGAGACCCCCAGACCCAAACCCCACGGGGGCCTGTAGGGGTCTCCAGTGTGAGACCCCCACCCATGGGGGGCTGCAGGGATCCCCTGTGTGAGACCCCCACCCACGGGGGGGATGTAGGGATCTTCAGACCCAAATCCCCCCCAGACCCAAACCCCTGAGACCCCCAGACCCAAACCCCACGGGTCTCCAGTGTGAGACCCCCACCCACGGGGGGGTGCTGCAGAGATCCCCTGTGGGGACCCCCACCCCGGCAGGCTCACTGTGAGACCCCCCGTTTTCCCCCCCAGGCTGCACGGCCCGGACCCCCCCGCCCTCCTCGGTTCCCCCGCCCAGCTCGGAGCCCCCCACCCCTCTGTCGGTGCCCACCAGCCCCGGCTCGGGCCCCTCGTGCGGCTCCTGGGGAGGGGTCCGCGTGCTGCCGGGACCCCCGTCCCGCTCCGCGCCGCTGGGCTCGCCGCTGGCCATCGAGTGCCGCTTCGAGCCGGCGCACGCCGAGGTCACCTGGCTGCAGGTGTGTCCCCGGCGCTACCTGGGCGACACGTGGGGCTGCAGCTGGCCGCAGGAGGTGGCGGCCGAGGGCGGGGGTCGCCAGGTGAGCCGCAACGAGTCGGGGGTCTCCCGGCTGAGCTTCCCGCAGCTGCGGCGCGACCACGGCGGGCTCTACTTCTGCCGGGTGCGGCTGGGGCAGGCGGCCGCGCAGTCCTGCGGCACGTTCGTCCGGGTGCTGGGTGAGTGGGGGTCCCGGGGGTCCCGGGGGGTGCCGGGGGTCTCCCGCGGGGGTCTCTGAGCCGCCCGGTCCCGCAGAGCCGGTGCCGGTGCCGCTGCTGGATGTGGGAGACGCCGCCAAGAACAGGATCCTGGCGGCGCAGGGCGCGCTGCTGCTGCTCTGCGCCGCGGGGCCGGGGCTGCTGCTGCTCTTCAGGGTGAGGAGGGGGCGCCGCGGGACCCCCGCCCGCGCTGGGGGCTGGGCTGGGGGGTGACGGCCCCCGGGGTCCTGCTGGCACCCGGGAATGCCCTCAGAGACCCCCGGGAATCCCCCCAGAGACACCCGGGAATGCCCTCAGAGACCCCCGAACAACCCCTGGCACCCGGGAATGCCCTCAGAGACCCCCGGGAATCCCCTCAGAGACCCCCGGGAATCCCCTCAGAGACCCCCCGGGAATCCCCTCAGAGACCCCCGGGAATCCCCCCAGAGACCCCCGAACGCCCCCAGAGACCCCCAAT